CTATTTTTTTGTTGTAGCTGTCATTGTTGTTTGGCAGGCCCGGGCTGGATTTGAACACGCCACCTTAGGTGTATGTGGCTGGCGCCTTAGCCACTTGAGCCACAGGTGCCGAGCCAAGATGAGCTATTTTCTTCTGTCGGTTATATCAGTGAACATTAAATACTTGAGCTATGAAAACAGATATGAGTACAGTAGGGACTAGGCCCTTGCCCCCACAGTACAATCTAGCAAAAGAGACACAGATGAGGGCAGGCCTAACCTCAAGTTTGAATTGACAGACAGACTAGAGAGATACAGCAGGGGGAGCTGTGGACTCTGGGAGGAAACTAAGCTGCACCCCAGAAGTAGGAGGAGATAGGTGAGGGTGCTTTGGCAATGGATCTCATTTTGAACCTTTTTTTTTTTTTTGAGACAGAGTCTTCACCCCATCACCCTGGGTAGACGGCCACGATGTCATAGCTCACGGGAACCTCAAACTCTTCAGCTCAAGCAATCTTCTTTTTTTTTTTTTTAAAGACAGTTTCACCATTGTCACCCTTGGTAGAGTGCCATGGTGTCACAGCTCACAGCAACCTCCAACTCTTGGGCTGAAGAGATTCTCTTGCCTCAACCTCCCAAGTTGCTGGGACTATAGGCGCCTGCCACAACACCTGGCTATTTTTATTTTATTTTTTGCAGTTTTTGGCCAGGACCGGGTTTGAACCCACCACCTCCAACATATGGGGCTGGCACCCTACTCCTTTGAGCCACAGGTGCCACCTAGACCTGGCTATTTTTAGAGACGAGGTCTCACTATGGCTCAAGCTGGTCTCGAACCTGTGAGCTCAGGCAATCCACCTGCTTCAGCCTCCCAGAGTGCTACCAGAGTACCACAGGTGTGAGCCATTGTGCCCAGACCAAGACTCTGGGTTCTTGAGTTACAGGGCTTAAGTCCCAGATTTCCCTTAGTAGCTATATGACCACAGGCTTAACTTCTCTAAGCCTCAGTCTCCACATATGTAAAATGAGGGTATGGTAGTCCCCATCACACTGCATTGATGTGAGGATGCAATGAGAAGCATACTGTGTGCTATACACAGACTCAGCACTGAATAAAGATGAGCTATTTTCTTTTCTTTTTTTTTTTT